AAGTTACAATCTGAAAATATAAAACTTCAAATTAGCAAACATACAACATATTTAAACGATTCCTCAAATTACATAAAAGTCTTAAATTTTATCGAAAACAAATTAAGTGATAAATTATCTGAATTAGTTCCATATTCTCCAAGGAAAAAACGTGGACTAATAAATGGTTTGGGATCTATTTTCAAAGCTATCAGTGGTAATCTAGATGCTAGTGATGGTGAACGATATGAAAAACTAATATTACAACTTCAAAATAATCAAAATAAATTATCAGAAACAATTAAAATGCAAAATTCGCTATCTATAAAATTAATCGATAATTTTAACAATACATTAAAAAATATAATGCATAATGAAAAACTGCTTCAATCTAAATTAGAACAAATTGCATTTATAATAAATGGAACAGTTCACCGCGAAAATTCTATGTTCATAAAAGATGTTTTAAATCAAATTATAGAACTATATAATATTATTTATTCTATTACACAAGATATTGAAAATTCAGTTACGTTTGCTAGACTAGGGATAATGCACCCGAGTATAATTAAACCATTGGAATTCTTGGAAGAACTGAAACGTATACAGAGTGGCTCAAATACATTTTTATTACCTATCGAACTTGATCATAAAAATGTTTTGTTACTAGAAAAGTTAATTAAAATAGAAAGTTATTCTTTTAAAAATAAAATTACATACATCTTAAATATACCCATTATTCACCCTTCGGATTTTAACTTATTTCACATTTATTCCGTACCAATAATGGGAGAAAGTCAGTTTAAGGCTGTAATTCCAAAAAATAAATTTCTAATAATGAATAAATTGTACTACGCGTACTCGAGCGATTCCTGCACGAAGATCTTCCAAGAGCAATACCTATGCAATGAAGTGGAACTACTAGAAATCCAAGAAGTCAACCCCTGCACTGTCCAGTTTTTGAGCTTAAAAAACCTTTCCACTTGTCAAAAACACAATGTTCGCGTCAACCGGCCGATCATCAAACATATCGAAAATTCAAATCAGTGGATTTTTATAATCCCCGATGAAGAAAATATCAAGTTACACTGCCACCATCAAGAAGAAATTTTGAAAGTAAACGGAAGCCTTATAATTCATATTCCAGAGGGATGTGAACTCTCAACTCCTAACCAAAGAGTTAAGAACACTGAGATATATTCTAAACAAAGTTTTAACTACCCAAAGATAAACACCCTAACCAGTTCGCCACAAAATATGGACCTAACAATATCACTGGAAAATGTCGAGTTAGACGAACTACAAGATATAAGAGGAAAAATACTTCAAAATCAGCCGAAAATAGATAATACTGATTTTTCAACATCTCCTAGTATCTGGACAATCTTTATCTATATATCAATAATCTTATTGATTAGTTTTTATTTAATCAGAAGATTCATATCAAGATATGTCTACAAGAAGCCCGTACGTCAAGAAAATCCATTAGATGTTCAAATCCCACTGTAACCCTTGGATTTGAATCTACAGAGGGAGGAAATATATCAGAAGATTCCTATCCTTCAATAAGAAGAAGAGAGACAGCCGTTCCCACCAAGACAATTAAGCTGACATATACTTTTTACTTTTTATTCTAATTCATTTTAATTAAGCAGTTGATTGTCAACCATCATAGCATACACATGTACTAAAACCAATTTTTTTGTAATAAATAAATTTTTAAAAAAGCATTTCTGAGTGTTCGAGAGTTATTTCCTGCGTCTGCTTGTGACGAACTTTATTTTATAATACTTTTCAGATGGAGTAAAATTGATAAGCAATGCCGATCTGGTTTATACTTGGCTTGATCATAAGGACAAGAACTCAAAATTATTTGTATTTCAAAAGATGTGTTCTTTATTAGATATTGATGGACCTTCCAGTCAAATGAGACCATTTGTGCCTGAAAAAGCCCACTATTTTGGAGCGAAACGTCGCATGAAAAAGTTTCCATCTTTCAATTCATTATAAAACCTCATACCCAAGAAATCGAAAAAATAATATAATATTGATATGGTCTATTAAAGGGGTAACTATTAACATCCGAACCCCTCATACCAACAAAAAGAACAGTAACAAGGCGAAAAAATAACATATTAGAAAATGACGTACAGAAATATCTTATATGTGAGGATATTTCATCTACCTATGATTTGGATACTATAAATTTGGAAGATTCTGTCAGCAGTGATTCTTCTGAATCAGAGTAGTTACGATCTATGCATTTTGTTGTCCTAAAGTAAATTTATAGTATCTTAAGTTTTCTTTAATTAAATATAGCATTAATGTTTCTTTTTCATTAAAGAAAAACATTTTTATCTTATATTGGCTTATATTGTAGGAATCATGTTCTAATGTTATTCCAATTCTTTTTTATCACATTATTTAATACTTATACCGTTTTCATACTATAATTTATTATTTCCTTAGATGGAACACAGCTCCCACATTTTTATTATTTATAAGATTTTTTTCATAAACGTGGGACTAAGAACATCATCATTTAGTACAATGAGAGTACTCATCATTTTTGTCAAATAAACCTAGTTTGAATAAATTGCCTACAATAAAAGAGAAGTTTTGCATTTTTGTCCTCTAGAGCCATATGTTCGAAGCACTGTGGCGCCGTCGGACCATAGTATCAACGGATAACGGATCCATGAAAATCAAGCATAATACCTAGATTTATTTTTATTTTAAAATATTTTTTTGTCTTTTATTATGAACGACTATAAACCGTTCCTACTTTATAATTTCGTGATTACTCAAGTCTATTTAGGGCCAGTGTCCCATGAGTGTTGAAAAATTTGATGTTTGCATTATTTTTTAAATAATCTTAATGTTATTAAACTTTTTTTAAATAATATTTTGTTACAATAATTAATTTTATCTGCAATTTTCGCACAAAACAGCAGAAGTATCTTTTCTCTAGTGACTCTAAGGTATCTAACTAATATTCACGTGTAACACGTTAGTTCTAGTTCAAGTAACTAGAGCATGTATTATCTAACCAGTAAGCTTATCAATATGTTAATGAAATTGTATTTTCAAATTAATATGCTACACTAAATGTATACAGTTCAAAGGTTAATAAGGATGTAACTGCATCTAAGATGTGGAAGTAATTTAATGGATATACAGGGTGTCCGAATAGTCACTTTTTCTTAATTTTTGTGAAAGTCAAATGTTAAGGCAACGGCCCAGCTACGTTAACCGGTTCCCATTAGAACACCGAAGTTAAGCGACGTAAGGCGATACTAGTGGATGGACGAGTGACCGGTTCGAAGCTCTGTATCGTGCTGTTGTCCAATAAAGGCAAAAGTGTAAAATCTATTGACACACACACACTGCTCATTCACGCCGGTTCGAGGCCGAATGAGATCGGATATATCGTGAGTAAGAGTTGATTTAGACACTTGCCAAGTCGGTAGGTCATTGACCATGATATGGCAGAGGACCGCGGTTCGGATTCCGCGTAAACAAAGTAGACCCCGTCCTGATTAGCCCTGGCAGCAAAAAGGAGACGTTAACTGAAATCTTTACTTTACTTTTCAAATGTTAAAGCACTTAAAATCTCTTTCAAATCGGTTCTACTTCAATAACGGTTCTACGGTTCTTAAAATATCTGAATAAATGTGTTTACTTTTTTAAAGTTTGATGCCCTCTAGAGGACAAACAAAGCACTTTGTATAGAGGTAAATTGTGTCCAATGAACTTATTTTGATTCCAAAAATACGTAGTAGTCTATTCCCACGGAATACTGGGACACCCTGTATACAAAATTAATGGTGCCCTCTACGGGACATTTAGTTTATAATTTTGTCATTATTTCTTATTATTTTTACCTGTAATTTTTAATATAGGTACTGGTATATAGTAAAGAAAGAATTCGAAATTTTTTAATTAAAAAAACTTATTTATCTACTTTAGGAAAAGTAATAAGATCATATTCGTTGGCATCTTCATTTTCATTTAATTATATGAGTATTACATATAGCATTCATGAAACTTAAAAACTTCTTTTAATACCGTATGATCGAAAAAACGGCGTTCAGTTGGCTTGAAAATGACAATCATGACATTCCCCATATAATTTTACATATGAAAATACAGCATCTGCATTTCACAGCCATCGCTGACGCCGTTTTTTTTTTCGATGATACAACATAAAACAAATTTTAAAAAAGATGCGTTTTAATATCCACAAAACAGAAAAATTCCACAAAAATATTACCATACAACAAAAAGATGAACCACTATGGAGCCTTCATATAAACAGAAATTAACATAAATAATAACTTAATATTTCCACTAATGCTCATAAAGCGACATTATGATAATTCTAAAGACATAAATTTCATTAGTATGACTCAAATTACACCGCTCAACGCATAGATTAACTCAAAATATTCTTTCTAAACCATCAACAAAAAAATATCTGACATTCAATCTAGGTATTTCACAAATTAATTACTTTTTTCTATATTAAAATTAAATAAACTACTATAAAATATGAATATTTAAATAAGGCTAAAATGATATAAATAAAGAGCACGTACATACCGTACAGGATAATTTGAAAGCTTTAATAATTTAAAATTATTAGCGCGATTTATATTGTTTAACAACTAAATTGATTTAATTAAAATATGACAGAGTATTATTCATAATATTAATCAATCTCTGTCGCGCTTATTGTAGATATTTTATATTAGTTTATGCTATTTGTTTTTTAGTTTATGTCAATGATGTTTTATTATTTTTTAACATAAAAATAAAGTAGGCTGTTTGGCTCACCCCTATAACTTTTTTATTTTTTCAGATAAAAGAACGAGATTTGGTATGTTAGTATATGACATAGGTTAGGTTAGGTTAGGTTGCTGGGGTTTGGGATCATATTTGATCCCTCACTCGGAGGCCTTGGGCCCACTGCGATACCCCTGTATTGTTTTACCAAACCTTCCTCTCATTCTTTCTTTGCGTCAAAACACTTCCAGCTTTTTGCAAACCGGAGAAGGAACGGTAACGGTAACGGGACCGGGTACGGGTACGGGTACGGGTACGGGTACGGGTACGGGTACGGGTACGGGTACGGGTACGGGTACGGGTACGGGTACGGGTACGGGTACGGGTACGGGTACGGGTACGGGTACGGGTACGGGTACGGGTACGGGTACGGGTACGGGTACGGGTACGGGTACGGGTACGGGTACGGGTACGGGTACGGGTACGGGTACAGGTACGGGAACGGGAACGGGAACGGGAACGGGAACGGGAACGGGAACGGGAACGGGAACGGGAACGGGAACTGGAACTGGAACTGGAACTGGAACTGGAACTGGAACTGGAACTGGAACTGGAACTGGAACTGGAACTGGAACTGGAACTGGAACTGGAACTGGAACTGGAACTGGAACTGGAACTGGAACTGGAACTGGAACTGGAACTGGAACTGGAACTGGAAAGGGAAAGGGAACGGGAATTTGAACAAAAGCGGAAACCGAAGCGAGAGCGATAATGTGTGTTGCAAAATGACAAATGTTAGCATTTTAATTTTAAAAATATATGTATATTGTATCTGTATTTTTGTTAATCTCTTGACAGTAATGAAACACGTATAATATTATACAGGGTGTTCCAAGATTCCGTGGACATAGAACTACTACGTATTTTTGGAATCAAAAGAAGAATAGATATGTAGTATAAAAATATATAATATGTGTATTTACTATGTAAAGATTGTAAAAAAAATTCTGCCTAGACTAGTTTCATTAATTATTAATTAATAAATTATTTTCATTATACCAATACCCATAAGCGCTTGGGTTTTTAATTATAAATCATAATTACACAACTTCCATTACCGGAAGTTTATTTAAAACGTTTCCCTAATTTTCAAGAGAATCTTTCAAGCAGCGTCCGCCTCATTGCCGCTTATTCCCCTTTGCACTACCATTAATTTCTGCGATTCTTTCTTTTATTTTTCATCTCCAGACACTTCTAATTAGCCCTTTTGTAATATCTTCTTCGTTTTTCTCGTTCGAAAAAAATATTAAGACCGAAATATTACCCATTGGATGTGGTTAATTTAGCAAAATCTCAAGGCGTCCTAATTTAATTGCACCTCATCTCCTTTTTATTATGGTTTTTTCCTTTAAATCTGGAGTTGTAGAAAACGCGTTTGATTGCTCTGATTCAACTGTAATAGACTATATCTAAAATGATAGAATAATAATATCTAATATTCTTATTTTCATTCCAAAAATACGTAGTAGTTCTATGTCTACGGAATATTGGGACACCTTGTATAACATTATACGTGTTTAATTACTGTCAAGAGATTAACAAAAATACAGATACAATATAGATATATTTTTAAAATTAAAATGCTAACATTGATTGATAAAGATGAAAGTTGGTTTAGATGTTAAGGAAAGTCGATATTATGTTCGATCTGTCTAAATCTTTTTATTCAAAAGTCTAAATCGACCGATTGAATATAAAACTGTTTTAAATTCAAGCCTAAGTAGGCATATTATTAAAACAATCGAATCATAAATATAAAATGCTTTTCAACGTTATATCATGTTCCTATACCTAAACTTTCTGGTTTCTACAGTAAATCCATTTAACAGATAATAATCCTATTATAGTTGTTTCTTCGGTTGTTTCGTTTAAAGAAAATCGTTACCATGACAAAACTTTATAAGTATCAATTAGATTTTACTTGCTAAATTTCTTATAGTGTCATTTGTAATTCAAAACTTTATATATATATTTATAGCTCTACTTAAAAAACCTGAAGGTTTAGGTTTACGAACATAATATATAGTCGAAAAGCTATTTCATTAGTCAAATAACAAAGATTTCACACATAGCGATTTTTATATAACAAACGGAAATAAATATTTTTTGGCACTCCCTGTATAATATCCAATGGGTTGATTTAGACAGATCGAGCATATAGATTTTCGTTAACTTATAACTCAAATTTCACATTTTAAAATGTTCAATAATTCATGATTTTAGCAATGCTTAGTAATATTATGTTTTGGTGACCAAAAAGGTTCCTACCCCAAACTGTAATAATAATTGTGGACAATAAAAGAAATTGGGATTAATTTCACAAAGCATCAAAGATTCGTAATATTTTTTTCTATTAGTGCGTATAATATTTCTTCTACTTGCGCAGGAACACATCATATTTTGGATGATTTTCCACCAAAAAAAAACGCATTTATTAAAAACCCAGTTCCAATTCCTACTTTCTTTTTTAATTATACGTCCTCTTCCTGTTTAAACATGAATATTTTAATTCCCGCGATGAAAGGAGTCAAATCTGTTGAGCAAACAGCGAACTTTTGGGATTCGGAAAAGTTTGACGAGAAAAAAAAAGCGGGCCGGTGATTTCTTCGGATACACGAGCCACGATTCTCTGTATTTTTTTAATTTTTTTCTGTGTCTGTCTTTTTTCGTTTACGTCAAATGCCGCAGCAGCGAAAAAGAAAACAAATAAAAGAAGATGGGGACATTGTTTCGAGTTTGGGCACGCTGGTCAATAGTATTTTACTAATCACAAAGAGCTTACGGACGAGATTTGTTTGACCTACTGCTGAATTTTTTATCAAAGGAGTTTCTGTCTTTGTGGCTTAATGAATTGTTTATATAATGTACGATAACCGTAAAAACACGGCGGTAAAGTCGGCTGGAAATTACAAACGATAATAATTTTTGCGATGATAATCAATTTCTAGATGTCATTTATTAAATAACATAAAACTTCAAAAAAATTTCAATCAAAAATTAATACTAATTAATTCTAAAAAGATTAAAAAGGATAGAACGCTTCCATATGCACAAAATATCTTTTTTTTCAAAAATATCTTTTTTTTCAAATTTTAAAATACACCATTTAAAAATCCTTTTTACTCAATATAAATAGTTATTTTTTATACAAGTCGATAAAATTGTATGTTCTTGTCGACTGACAAGATTAATTCACAAGCGATGAAGTCGCGAGTGAATTAATTTCGGGAGGCGATCTTCAATCGCGAGACGATATTTCAAGGAATTTATTACGAGTAGAAAATATGTTGTGCTGGGTTGGCGTTGGTTTCTATGTAATTTGACAAATAAATAAAGCTGTCTCTTTAGTTGTCAGTTTTGAGTCAATATTTTTTAATTCTCTTTCGTGTCGATTGCTGATTGAATTGGAGCCAGAAGTGGCTCAAAACGAAATAAGTAAATTACCAACAGATATTCAAGCTGAGGCGACAAACGTCATATCCTACTTCCATTTAAATCCCGAATAACTTATGAAAAGGAATACAAAAATTAAAACAAAAGGAAGCAAGTAAAAAACGTGCGAGAAGAAATAAGGTTTTTAACCTATCTTCGCTGTTAAAGTATCATTTAAGCTACCCTTGTTAGTTAGTTGTTTATTATAGTTAATGACGCCTAGGTATTGACCACGCCAAAATTATCATCGACTGTCTTTCCCCAGCCGTCGGTGACGCCATTTTTTTTTTCGATCGTATGGTATATTTTACTATACCAACTCAGATGTTAATAAGAATTTTCTTACGCAGTGCTAAAACCGAAGTTAACCAAATTAGGGTCTTCCTAATTGCAACAAACGGGATCTGGGGCTTACGTTACAAGCGGAAGAAGGTTAGACAATGGGAAAGGGCCGCGTAGGGCTAATTTAGGGACAAAAGGTGGAATTAGTAGGTTGTGGAGAAGACAAGAGTGAGAAAAATGGACTAAGGATGCAAGAGATATCCGGGATTGTCATAAAAGTACGCAGCCTCTATTAAGGTAATTGGTACAAATTGAAGATACATATTACTTATTTTGAAATATCACGAAAATACATTTTAATGGTGTATTGTCTTCTATGATCGCTGTTAAAACTTCAAATATGTATCTATTATACCTATGAGCGAGAAAAAGGGCGTCCAGTTGGCTTTGAAATGAACATCCCCAAAATTCCATGAAGTATTTCATGTAGAATTCAAAAATCGTAAAATATACAGGGGGTGCCATTTAAAATATAATAATAAACAAATTGACATCCACGTCCAATTAAACCGGATCAAAAATACATTCTTAAGTACTCAGATGCAAAAAAACGCGTTTGTATTAAAGTGTTATATATTTTTTTTAATTTTTAGCCCTATTTTGATGAATATTAGCAAACTGTATATAAATCTATCAACTTTAATTCATAAATTCAGTTTTATATAAATTTTAGTATTTGGCATAATAAATGTGTCACTTTATTATGCGTGGTATTTGGTTATTAATGAGTAAATATTATACTTTTAATATAATTGGGAGCCAAAATGTACTTAGTCACTGTTATTGTTTATATTTAAAGTTGACTTTATACCACTTATAATAATTAATAATTCCTGTGCCAATGATTTGCCGTAAAAATATTAAGTATTATAATTTCAATGATTGACACCCTATGCTAACGATGATATAACTAATAGTGATGGGCAAAACTGTTATTTTTAGGTAACAGTTGAAACTGTTATAGTTATTTATAAAAAACAGCTTAAAATAACAGCTTAAAAATAACAGGTTTCTTTATTTTACGGCTAAATATCTGAAAGAGTATGAGACGGTCACCGCCAGGCGTATTAACGCAGTTGCAACTTGCAACAATGACGTGCTCGGTGGTAGTATTTCCAGGGTGTCAAAACATTTCTAAATATCGATTGTTATCTAAAATGCCTCTCTAAAAAAGGGGGTTGTTTACAAATAAGCGCTGTTTACAAATTGCGATATAAAAAAAGCCAAAATTCCGCCTCTCATCTATACCTACACATAGCGATCTACCTACGCCCTGCCCCTCGATCCGCGTAGATCCTGAATTGCGTAGCAGTGTACAGGGTGCATCTCACTTGACGGGCGAGAAGCTCTTAGTTTTGATTTTACCATTTGCGGTCAAAAAATAGCAATATAAGAAAATGTGTAGTATATTTTTCATAAGTAAACCAACTGCACACTAGAGTTCGAATTAATTTTTCACTTAAACTAGCGTGTACCCGCGACTTCGTTCGCGTCGAATTAATAATTTCTAATGGTGATGATAAAGCAAAACAAGAATTTCCATTAACATACAAACTGGATAAAATTTTCTCACATTTGCCAAAAATAAGCTTTCTAACGTCGAGCAGTTTAAGCAGAATCGTGGTTAATCAATTACTCAACTTTTTGGAACACCCTGTATGATTTTTAAAAAATTTCAAAATATGTAAAAAAACAAAATAAATTATGCGTGTCAGACATTTTCCCGAAAGACTAACCGTTTTTAAATAACAAATATTGAAAAATTTGAGGGGCGTTTTCACCCTGTTGGAATTTGAGATTCGAGAAACCCGTCCTTATCGAACCTCAACCCCACAGTCAATCCGTTTGCAAAAAATCAGCTTTAAACGTCCAGCAGTTTAAGCAGAATAGTGATTACTCAATGGTCATATTTTATGAAACCCCCTGTATATATTTTTTAAAAATCTTAAAATATGTAAAACAACATAATAAAATATACGTGTTTTACGAGTTTTTCTGAAAAACTCACCGGTTTTTAAATAAAAAATATTCTAATATTTGAGAGTAGTTTCACCCCCTTAGAATTCGAGTTTCGAAAAATCCCTTCTTATCGAACCTCTACACACTAAAGTCAATCCGTTTTCCAAAAATCAGCTTTTTACGTCAAGGGCTTTAAGCAGGATCGTGATTAATCAATGACCAGATTTTTCAAAACACCCTGTATACATTTTTAAAAAATCTTAAAATATTATTCTGAAAATTTTTCAGAATAAATAAATACCTAAATATTGAAACTTAAAAAGTAAGTACTGAAACATACAGCGCCATAATATCTCGACCTCCGTCCGTTATGCTCGTAACAGGTTGAAACAGAATGTATCTAAAACAACTGATGCGTTATTCCCCAACCTGTTTCGAACCTCCATCGACAATCGACCGATGCAGCAGCGTTCCTTCCCCACACCGATTATCTCGACCGCCGCCCTGTTATGCTCGTAACAGGTTGAAAAACAACATATCTAAAATGACTGCTTCTCCAACCCGTTGCGAGCCTCCATCGACAATCGACCGATGCAGCAGCGTTCCTTTCCCAGTCCTGTTATCTCCACCGCCAGGCGTTATGCCCGCAACTGTTTCAAAAAACCTGCTTCTTTTATATCCTATTATTTTTAAGCCGTTGTAAGCCCAATACGACCGTCGCGCGTCGACGGGACCGACCGAAGCAGCTACGTTCGCCGTAGCGCTTTCCCCACTCCGTTGTCCGTTGTCTCGCCGCCTGTATCGACGGTTGACGAAATAACATGTTTTCCATCCATACTAGTTGTTTTTTGGAATTGCTTCGAGCAGCATAGAATTTCGTGGTGATGCAGAGCGCCGACTTCGTTTTTTGTTTCACGAGCAGCCGATCTCTACGTGTTGTTATTTTATATCTGTTATTTTTTAGAAGTAGTAACGGTTGCGTTATGTTATTTATAAATAATTGTTATAAAATAACAGATAGTTAAATAACAACCCATCACTAAACTAAGCACATAAAAAACAAAGATGGTTTTTATATATTTTGGATGCTAACAGACGATGGGTTGTCCGAGAACGTTTTTTAAAAGAAAATTGCCATATTTGTTAATAATGAAGACAATGTCTAACTTAAAGACAATTTTTCACGTCCAACACTAAAAGTCGCTAATACAGTCACGCCACTTCAATATTTTTAATTACGAGTATAAAAATTCAGTTTCAAAAAACATAAATGTCAAAAAAGCAATTTTAGGCCAGTCGGCAAGTGCATCGATGACGGCAGCAATTCCGGACAAGCGGAAATAAGTTTTATTTTGTTTATTTTGGTGTTGAGAAGCACGTATTAAATTTGCACTCCCCGTAAAGCCCGGATTTGGCCGCCATCTTGGAAAAATTGGCTAAAATTCGGTTTATTTTTCATTATTTGTCAATAACTCGATTTCTATCAACTTTCGTGCAAAATATGTACGGACAAAAACTAAAGAAGAGGAAAAACTCTATAAAAACGTTGTATGTTTTTTTTTCGTATGACTACCCAAAGTATCGAATTTTACGAAAACAAAATTAAAGTTTCATATAATGTACGTGTTCAATATATCCAGGGTTAACTGTACTTGTTTCCACACCATCTTGAGCGGCACCCCCGATACATAAAGCCTAAAAACTTGCTTGCTACTGGTTGGCAGTAGCCTGCTGTCGCGGTCATAATGGAAGAACGCAATTTGCATTATGACCGCAATAACGAACTAAATTTTTATTGCTGCGCGACTGGTGGAAGACAAGTTTAACCGCCTTATCACTCAGGGAGCTGCCTTGAGGTAAAGTAGGCACCCGGCGCGTTTTTTTTAGTGGTCTCCCCATTTCCAATAGGCCTAATCCACATGTCGTCAACGTCAAGGTTTCTTTTGAGGTGGAAGGTTCATCAGAGTTTCTTCGTTTTTTTGATGTTACTGGCTGTTCAATATAATCTTCCTGAATGTCTTCCACATCTGTATCATATATCTTTTCGTTGATCTTTACCGAGAGGAAAATTGTCCTCGTACTCATCTTCGTCTAATTTTGCCACCTCCAAACTATTCGAACATGATTTGCCGTGACAAAGTGCACACATTACCGAGCAACGCAAACCTGCTTTGCGGCAACTACAAGATGTATTACAACTTTTGGCACATTTACAAGAAATCAGATTTAATAATTCTTGGGGAGCTGCATCTTGGGAAGTAGCAATGGGCATCAACCCATTCTTTGAATTTTTCCATCCCCAATCCCGAGGTGATTTTTCATTCCCATACCTTAGCTGTACGTACGGAAGGAGTGCAAGCGAGCTGCGTCTTTGGTCGGTGGTAATGATGCTAGGTTTGGCAAACTTTTGGTAATAGATTTTACGAATCACTGGTATCTGTACTTAACTAATGAGTCGCATTTTTTGGATCCATATATATTTTCTGGAGATGCGTTTGGGTCTTTGAAAGTTTTCATTTTTCTTGTCTGTATAATGCGGATGTGGTGTCGCAGCCACTAAACGCGTGGAGAAATAAAAAGAGTAAGGTTCTCGGAAAGACAAAAACTGCCTAGAATAAAGGAAATAATAACTGCTTATAATATATTTAGCGTGTTTAAACCGAGATAACTTGGAAACGGGTCGTCGCACGGAAAAAGTACATAAAACGTTTTTTATAGAGTTTTTCCTCTTCTTTAATTTCGGTCTGTACATTTTTTGCACTAAAGTTGATAGAAATCGAGTTATTAACAAATAATGAAAAATAAACCGAATTTTAGCCACTTTTTTTAAGATGGCGGCCAAATCCGGGCTTTGGGAGTGGTGCAAATTTAACACGTGGTTCCTTACACTAAACTAAACAAAATAAAATGTATTCTAGCTTGTCTGGATTTGCTCCCGCCATAATCTATTTTTTAATACTTTGCGACTGGCCTATTAATTTTATCTATGCGAATAAAACTAATAGAAGGAAAGCGGGTATAAAATGTCTTACAATTACTTGTTTAAAACGAAGAAATATTTTTAAATATATTTTGTGTGTCCAAAAGTTTCATAAAAATTGAACTTTTATTTTAGGTTTTTGATATTGACTCTAATCCGAGCTCTAATCCTAATTTTTAAAGTGTAATATCATGTTATTTACTGTGAAATGTTTACATCTTTAATAAACATACCTAGTTATAGCTTTAATATCATCATCATCATCATCATCATCATCATCATCATTATTCAACCATTTCCAATTATCGTGTAGCTTCCCTCGCATACTCTCTTTGTAGTTGGGCCCATTTTTGTCTATTATTGTCTATGCGGGCGCAAGTTATCCCTGCTAATTTCATAATATTATGGTCTCATTATGTGGGCACCAGGCTGTAATTTTTATGGTCCATCTGTTGTCTGTTGTTCTTGCCAGGTGTCCTGCCGAGAATTTGACTCTGTGGATGACATCTATTACCTGGGTCTTTTGTCGTATCCACTCAATTCTTATACGGTCTCCCTTGGTACCTACCTTGATTACCCATTAAACTACTTGCACTTATTTCTACACCCCGTATAATGATGTTACAAATTTTATATTACATTATCAAGAAAATCCGATATTAAAATCATAAAGTGAAACTTTGTTATTTTAGACTTACTCAAAGCTTCTTATTTCTTAACATAATATATTGTATAAACAAATTAAGACCATGGTAAGCGATTTAAGTTAAATTTTCTTCCTTTAACTTATTCAAAGCTTCTTATTTCGTAGCGTGGAGTTCAACAGATTGATGTTCGTCTAAATTTGCCAGTTCTATTACCTAATTAAAGTAGTTCCGCAGCTTGGCAGGTATAAATTCTGGATCGCGTCGCGCATTTATACATCCTCCCGTACGTATATAGGGACGTAACTGCGACTGGAAGTTCTTGTTTTGCGGATTTCCGGATATATTAATTCGGTCGTCGACGCTGTATGGCTCCAAGTTAAGAGCGCTGTGCATTTGCTGCCGTGATTCTCTTTTTGAGAGGGGAGTTCTTAATTGATGTTTGGAGTTGAGGAAATAGAAGTAAATTTCAAGGAAATATTCTTGCATCGTTTCTTCTGAAATAAATAAAGTAATACCATAAAATATGAATATTTACTAAAAAATGTGGCGGGTTCATCTCTCAAAAAAATCCTTTATGGGTATTTTGCCACTGCACTGTAAGAAAATCTACAAAATAAAATAGTTATTTTTTGTAAACACTTCTGCGTTAAACCTAAAAAAGAAAAGTAAAAGGGGCTTTTTTAATTCAATCTAATAAGAATAAATGTATTGCTCATGCATCTGTAGATGTTAGTAATGTATGGCAATCGCTTCTTTGATTTTAAACATAAAACATAACATAAATAAACATAACATACGTAAAATTTAAAAATAATCACACAGAAAGTTTGGGCTTTTTGGTTTTACCTTATTCGGTAATTTTTATCAGGTAGTAATTGTTAATTTTGAAGTTTAACTTGATATAATGTCATTTTAACAGAACGTCAACGGTTTCTTCTAGACGTATCTGTTTTAAAAACGTAAAGTGTTCTCGAATAGTTGAATTTAAATATTTTAAATAGTTTTTTTCTTTATTCTTTGTATTTTTTTGCTTCCGAAGACGGAAAGAGATAAACTTTCCGAAACGTTAAGCATTTTTTTCTTTGTTAGGCAAATTTGTATAACTGTAAACATAACTTCTGACAAGCAGTGTCCGTTTAGGTTTAACGCAGAAGTGTTTACAAGAAATAACTATTTCACTTTGTAGGTTTTCTTACAGTGCAGTAGCGAAATACCCATAAAGGATTTTTTTGGAGAGATGAATATTTAATATTCTGACATGAATGCAAATTCTGACTGATGCAATGACTGATATGCAAATTCACCTGTTGATTATATTGTGTTGATGAAGCAGATTAATAATCAATGTGATCAACAACTTCTAGGTACACTCAGATGCAAAAAAAAACGTAACAAAAAAAATGTTTAAATTAGGATTAGGAAGCTGTTGCTAAGCCAAATAGAAAATTTTTCAAAGGCTTAAAATCATTGAAACGTAAGAAAAACCTGTTTCCCGAATGGCTCCATAAAAAAGGAAACCGACGTTAACAACAGTCGCCAGAACAACTTAGAGCTCGAATTCCGCGCGAAAAACAGATTAACAAGGAGAACACCAGAGAGGCGTCTAACAGAAGGAAAAATTACGGCCGGAGTGACGCTAAAGTCCGAGCTAATCGCATTAGGATCGTCCTAATTGTAGAAAACTGAACGCGGAATAGAATAGGAGTGGAAGCAAAAGATTCCTTCGAGTTGTTATAATTACTTATTAAGCTAGAACTGTCGGTTCGAGTTAAGTATATTAAAGTTTTTAGTTAGTGAAGATTTCGTGTCTGTTTAAGTTTATTATTATTAGTAAGTTGTTTCTTAATATAGAGACAAACAATATATTATACATTACGTCCTAAGATAATATAAACTTAAGCTGCCCTGGTTGTCTGGGTCTACCTAACCACAGGGCATTGTAAGTTTAATAGACATCTATAGATGATGGGATTGACGAACGAAGCAATGTACAGGTTTTGTTAATTTGAAGTTCAGTTTGAATTTTGTCACATTTTATGATAATACAAAAACCATGCAAACCATTTCTTAGCCAAAAATTTTCAGATTTTTTTTTTGTGCGACTGCCAGATATCACAAGCCTCGTCATACACAATTTTATAAGTCATATTCCACAGCTTCTAGACTATTAAGGGGTGTAGAACGTCCTTTGGATGCTGATATTTCATATTTCAGACCAAATGGTGAAGGTAGTCCATTATATCCGGGAAAATAGAAAAAACGATATACTCCGAAAGAGTTGCAAGATATTGCGGGTAATTTTGAACTTTTATCGTTGATTTCCAACTCCTCTTTGATGTTTGTTACTTATAAAGTTATTATACAATTTTTTTTTGCTTACGACACTTTCCGGAAATTCGAAAAAAACCGAAAAGCCACTCATGAATAATTGTTAGCCGACCAAACCGACAGGGCCGCGCTGCCCATGTGTGCGAAGTGTGCGGCGCACACAGGCGCCAAGGCATTAGGGGCGCCGGATGATATATCAGCGCCAATTGTTGAAACTGTTTTTGTTACACAAATCCAAAACTAATAAAATCCAAAGCGAAATAATTTATATACTCAATAACTACGTTCCAAATTTTATTTTGAATTTATATCAAATTAACAAATACTTTTGAATAAAACTGGATTTCACTCCTGACTTTAGTGACTTTTCACACGTAGAATAAATTAGTACCATTATATTATTTGTCAATTTTAACACAGAAACTAGAAAGGTTGAAATAAGAAAGAATTTTCTAGCTTTCTGTCCAATTATCTATACAGCTGTCGCTGACTTATCTTTATTTATAATAGAAGAATTATACAAAATTAATTTGGACATAAACAATTTAAAGGGACAGGGACGATTTGATGAGGGATTAAATATTCGTTGTAAATTTATAAAAATCAAAGTCGCAGTTTTTGAGATAAAAAAAATATCAAGTATGGGCGGCTATATGTGCCTCCCGGCGCCATTTTTTTTTTTTTTATTAAAATGTGCTTAAACAAATACTTCAGGCTTTCTGAGTTGCTTAAAAATAAGCTATTATTAGTGAAAATATTAATAATTTTGTACAAATCTGAAAATTTTTGGGCTAAGGAATGTTTGTCCGTTTTTTTATTATCGTAAAATATGACAAAATTTAAACTAATTCCAAAATGTGATAGCTGTTGATTCTGCCTTTTAAATGAACTTTGAATCACCAAAAAATATTAAATTTTAGTCGAGTTATTGAACAATTTGTCCTATCAAGCAATGATACGCTTATGAAATACACGTGTGGCAAAATTTCATTAGCGATAGGAGCTTTTCAATGCGATAAAAAAAGATGCTAAGGCTGCAAAATACACTGCAGTACAACAGAGATGGATAAAGTGTCTTTTCCCTACCATTGTATAGGGAAAGTGATCATAGAAGTGATACGACGAGAAAGGAGAGAGCGTCTGCGTGGGGGGGGGCGGGTCTTTAAGACGCTTGTGTGTGGGCTACCGGCTACT